GCCCCAGCTCCGCGCCCACCCGGGGCTGTGACTCTCCACGGCGTCTGGTCCGTCGGGCTGCTGCTCGGAGTCCGCAGCCCGGCCCCGCAGAGGCCACCGAAGCGTCCTGCAGACGCCGCCATCGCAGCCGACTCTGCGGGAGCCGCCAGAGGCCGGCCACGGCCCGTGACCAGCTGAGGCCGTGGCCGTCCCGGACTGCTGGGTCCGTGGTGGGGGACGGGTGCTGGGTCCTCCGGCTACACGCTGCTGTCCGCGGCCAGGCTAGGGGCTGGCCGGCGCGGGGTTCACTGGGGACACCCGCGTCCCCTCGGTGCTGCCTGGGGGCCTCTGCTCCACCACCGGCTCTGCGGGACCCGCACGGCCCACGCGTCCGTGTGGACGGAGCTGCGGGGCCCCAGGCCGGACCGGCCCCGGCGTGAGAGCCGGTGCGTGGTGGCCACAGACGCCGCTGCGGGGCGGCGGGCCCGTCCCTCCCTCGCCTCCAGACGCCGGTCCAGAGCAGCGCCACCCCGGCTTGCTGCCCCCGTGGGAGATGGTTGGGGGCGTCCTGCGCCCCACAGCCCCCCCGCCGGCGGCCTCTGGGCGGGAAGGTGGCAGGGACACGGGCGTGTGACGCTCCCGAGCCCCACGGTCCTGTACCCGCGGCCGTGCGTGAAGAGCCCCAAGAGCGAGCTGGCTCTCGGGGTGCACCGCGGCCCGCGTCGACCCCCCACCTGCCCTGGGCCTGGGCCTGGGCCCCGGGAACTCGCAGAGCAAACGCCGGCCGGCTCCGGCCAGCCCGAGCGCCCGCTACACAGCGCGATGGCCAGACGCTCACAGCGTCAGCACCGCGCCCAGGCCCGTGCGGGGGCCTCAGGGCCCCCCCAGGCCGCCGAGCAGGACGCGCACATCTGGGCTGGCCGCTGCGACTCCCTCCCTCGCCCTCACCCCGCCTCTCTGCACCCCACGGCCTCCACAGCCGGCGGCCCGCCTGGGCGAGCTGCTGCGTCGCTGGCCTTCGGGCAGACACGGGGCAAGATGAGGGGCCCCAGGGCTCGCACGTCGCTGACTTCTTGTGGCGGGGCACAGCCGCGGGCACTGAGTGCAGACCACCCTGGGGAGCCTGCCCTGGGAGCCCGCCCTGGGGAGCCCGCCCTGGGGAGCCCCGCCCTGGGGAGCCCCACCCTGGGGAGCCCGCTGTGGGGAGCCCACCATGGGGAGCC